TAAGTTTGATTCTAGCGGACTTCTACCAATCTCAAACATAGCATATTTTGTTTCCTGAAGTTTATGATGCATTTTATTGCAGATTTTACGTTTTTGGGAGTACCAAGCCAGGATACAAAGTCTCACAAAATGGGGATCGTGAGGCTGCAACATAGCAAAACCGATTTGCTTGAGGCTGACAGATAATATGTAGAAAAATATAACATAAAACAGCTGCATTTGTATCATATTCTAGGTGAGGCTGACTACTTTTTGAACGTCCCTCGTAGATATACCCGTTAGAAAACCCTCCCCCACCCCACCCCCACTTTATATGTATATATGTTATCGCGCTAACAATCTTTATATTGGCAAAACCCTCAGATTTTTGCTGTGACCCTGCAAATTATCTCAAGGTCACTCAATCTCACTTGTGTCGGTGAATCTCGCCAATATACCTTGGTACCATATTTGAACAAAATCCATCATTTCTTTCTTAAGTTATCGTCCTAAAAAGCTTATATGATGTATGAAATGCAACGAAAAACAAACACACGAGTGATTAAAACTGTTATTACAATTTACGTAAATATGTATTACATTTTACCGCAACTAAAATTATTACAATTTACGTTAATTTTTATTACAATTTGCGCATTACAATTTCTAAACATTTCTAAAACTATATTTATAATAAACATATTATCGGCAGTCAAAACCCCTTTTCTAAATCATGCCTGTGCAGGTGTGAGGATATTATTGATTTCTGCAAATAATGTTAGTCTTCCATTCAGAATACTTAAAGCAACTTAGGAGCGTTACCGGCCGGTCTATACGAATTTGGACTATTTCTATCGCCTTTTTTCTTAGTTTTATCCCTGTCAGCATCAGATTAAACAGCGATGTCAGAATAGGAGTAAGAATATTCTCTGCATCATTGAAATAAGATCTATACCTGAAGCCTTATTTCATTTCAAACATTTAATTGCAAGTTTTACTTCGTCCTCAGTTATATCTTTATTTAGAACTTCATTATCATACATATTTTCTTCAACTGTATCATCAGTTGTGATGTCATCATTGTCTTATGTCATTTAGTTTTTTGAAGAAGTCAAGAAAAATTCGGGTATAGATTGTTCTTTTTCAGGTTCTTTGTCACTTAGCAGCTTCCAGTATCCTTTTGGGGAGTGTGTTCTATCATTCCTATCCTATGGTCTATCTTCTTTTTCTTTTTAAAAGCTGAAACGTTCGAACGAACGAACTTACATCAAACGTATCCCGTGCAGCATTCACTAGCACATGCGAAATGCCACTGGCAATCTCATATATTCTTATAGCGTGGCACAGATTACACATTCACTTATAGGGAAACTTTTCCTTCTCTTAAAAACACACGCAGTTCCCTCGGATAGCACCATATATGTGTGGATTTTAGCAAAGGACGAAAGGATCTCCCCTGGAATATTCCCCTTACTGATTGGAATAGATTCCAATGTCTGCACCTGCCCTTGTATCAGTGAAAATAGGTTTTTTGGCATGCTTCGATCTGAACCACACTCATTCTTGTCCGATTGCATACAAGAGTGAGTGAGTGAGTTTAGTTTCACGCCGCACTCAGCAATATTTCAGCTATATGGCGGCGGTCTGTAAACAATCGAGTCTGGACCACACAATCCAGTGATCAACAGCATGAGCATCAATCTGCGCAATTGGGAACCGATGACATGTGTCAACCAAGCCACCCGATCCCGTTAGTCGCCTCTTAGGACAAGCATGGGTTACTGAAAGTTCATTCTAACCCGATCCTTCAATGGTCAACTCATGCATTTAAGACTTGAGTAAATCAAGTACAGTCGCTCTTGCAATAAAGAGACTTCAGAATGAGGGACAAAGTCGTATGCTCGTTTTTTGTAGTCAATCCAGAACATGGAGAGGTTGCGTTGATATGTTTTAGCCTCTTCAAAAATAATTTTTTGTACAAGAGGTTGATCCTTGAACCTACAACATCCCTTCCTTGCTCCCTTCCCTCCCTAATTGTCATAAGAGCAGTAAGATGGCACGAGGTTTGTCAAACACCCTGTGAATATTTTATGCTGAGTATTCAAACATGTGATGGGGCGGACGTTTTTGGGATCAGTCAAGTCTCTTTTCGGGGGAAGAAGTATTGTGCGACCTTTGCAGAACCATGGAGGAACATCGCCTGTGTCCACGGGAGAATTGAAACAGTAAAGTAATGCCGTTTGGGCTCAGGGGAAGAGTTTCCAATACCGGTTTCGAATGCCATCAGGCCCTGGAGCTGTATTAGATTTGGACTTTTTGATAACACTTACCAAGTCATTTTACAATATACAACTGCAGTATCGAATAACAGTCCCTGTTATCGATTGCGTTTAGATTGGGCCTACCGTTTCTTACCTCGACAAGCTGTCGTAGCTCATTGTTAGTGAAGTTGTCATCCCCTTGAATTCGAATGAACAGGTTGTCTGACAAAACATCCACTTGCACGGTTTGAGATCGATTGGATCATTGGATGAAGAGATATTTACAAAAAAACGGATCCACATGCATTCCATGCCAAACTATAGTCAACGGTTATAATCACTAGATACTAGCGGTATCCGTGTTTCGCCTAACGGTCCAACAAATAATGGGAAGATCAACTTCAGATTAAATTGTCGTATCAGAAGCCTTTCAATGCAAATGCTAGATACTAATGGTATGCGGTTGAACGTGACTCTGTCTGGAGTTCTTTTTCCTATTTGTTGCAATCCCTGTCCGATATTTTTAGCTATTAAAGAATCATTTCCCCAAAGTTTAAACTTGAAGAGATACGTTTACAGTTATCCCTTATGTTAGCGCACATAAACAGCATCAACGTGTCACGAATATCGATATAAGCTGTGACAGCTTGTTCACCAATTCATATTAATTCACTGCATAAAAATATATGTTCAAATCAAATATTGTAAAACGAGCCAGCGTACAGCCTCGACACACACACATACTGTCACACTCAAAGGTACGTATCTAGTTTACATATGAATTGTGCAAGGTTCTTCGTTACTTCATATTCCTGGTACATTTAATTATTAAGGAACTGTGTGCATTTATTTGAGATGTTAAATCACAAAGAGTCCGTCGCGAAAAACACAAAGACTCCACTCTCACCGTAACCAAGTTGCCCATAAGTGTATGGGTTTTTTTCTTTTTAACAGCTGAAACGTTCGAACGAACACGCTTTTCACCAAACGTATCCCGTGCATCATTCACTAGCACGTGCGAGATGTCACTGTCAATCTCATATATTCTTATAGCGAGGCACAGATTACACATTCACTTATAGGGAAACTTTTCCTTCTCTTAAAAACACACGCAGCTCTCTCGGATAGCACCTTGCATGTGTGGATTTTAGGTTTCCAAATTCATAGAATACTGTAGATAGATAGAAAGATACCATCTTACTTTATCCATCATGGCGATTTATGCACTTCCAAAACAAAAAAGAGGATTAAAACAATAAGTTAAAATAGAGCCTCTGAATTTACGTTGGAATTGACTATGGTAGTATGTGCGCGGCGTTTGTCGGGGCTTGGATTGTTTGTACGTTAAAACATACTGATATGGATCATAATGTAACTTTACAGTAATCAGATTATTGTAGAAATGGCTCGAGATATACCCTCGCACCCCACCCATCATCACCCACCATGAACATTAACAGCTGGGAGTGAACCCACACGTTTAGCATTTGTTTGTCACAGGGGCGGATCCAGAGGGGGATCTCCCCGAAACAAATTTCCCCGAGAAGCATCCCCACCTTTGGACTTCATGATTTATGTGCACTCCTCTTCTCCAAAATTCTACATCCGTACCTGTGTCATCTGAAATACTTATGTCGGTATTTCATATCAAATATATACAGTGGACCCCCTCTAAACCGACATCCCTCTAATCCGACATTCCCTATAAACCGACATCTATATTTAGTCGCGAATTTGTCCCTGTGTAATATCAGATAGGAAGCTCCCTCTAATTCAACATCCCTCTATTCCGAATTCCGACACTAAAATCCGGTCCCAAAACATGTTTTAGTTGAGTGGAACAAGTTAGATAATGATATAAGGAACATAGATTCCGTTGCCATGTTCAAGAAACACTTTGATCGAACTGTCTCATCCAATGAACATCATGTCTTCAGAAACATTGGAACTAGATTTAACCAAATAATTAATTGTAAGTTAAGACTTGGCTGTAGTGACTTAAATGCACCTAAATTTGACCGTTTTCTTCAAAATACGTCTACTTGCTCTTGTGGCCATCATTATGAAGATGTCATTCATTTTCTATTCATCTGTCCAAATTTTACTACAATTCGATCAAAGTGTTTCTATTGCATAAATGGTTTTAATATTCAATCTGTATTATGTGGAAGTTACTCATATTCTGACGAAATCAATGAAAATATTGTAAAATCTGTACATGACTATTTTACCTTAACAAAACGATTTGTACCTAATTGATTAATTATACTATTGTCTTTTTCATTTAGTCTTTTACTCTTCAAATGGTGTGTTCTCTTGTCTGTAATGATGAATGTATGTAAAAGGTTTCCCATCGCATTGTATTCGGAGAGGTATTTATATAGGCTTATAGCCTGTTTACCAATTCGTTCATTTCATAATGAATAAATATTGTTCAAACTATGTTTTAGTGCAAATTGACTCTCTCTAAACCGACATTGTAATTTTAAAAGAGATGGCATCAGCCAACACATGGTGTGTATTTAACACACACGCTTAGGCGAGAGGTGGCCTGCCAAGGCATAATAGGATTAAGTGTTAATTCCTTGCTAATTACTTGTTCAATGGATTCATTGATTGGTAAAATTACATGTTAAGTGCTTGTTCTGATTCAATGACATTAGCATTGACATTGAGATTATCTCAGTTTAGCATGATTATTGCTAGTCGGAAAATGAAGAAAGTCTCCGGGCTCCTTTTTATTATAGATTTTTTGTTCACTATGAGCCTTTTTTTCAGTAAAATATGTTCATTTCAGACCAGTTGTTAGTCTAGAGTATTGCCAGTCAGTGTAACTAAGACATATTACATTATAGGTGAGGTGAAATTGGGTTTAACTTCGCGCTGGAGAATATTTCGCTTATATGACGACGTGCATGCGTGTGTATGTGTATGTGCGGCTGCTTGTACTAGCCCAGACTTAAGCTGGTTTTATAGTGCTAGCCCACTGAGATACCATGCCGCAGTGAAGCACGAATACCCCACTCAGACACATTATACTGACTCCTTGTTGTACCCATTAATGCCGAGCGCCAGGCAGGGACCAACAAGTATATTACATTATAATAAGAAGTCATGGTCAGTTACTGCAATAAAAGTCCCAATGGCCACCCCATCTCCTAAGAGAGCAAGGACTGAGTTTACTCTAGATAAATTCCTGAAATTAGCTTCCGGTTTGAAAAATAGCACCCCAAAGTGTATGCTTTACAGTGACTTTGGAAGAGAGCCGTTGAATATCAAAATCTATAAGCGATTTATATTACATTGACATAAATTAGCCTCTGAGAACACGTATTTGAAGCCATCCCAGATTATATATTACTGTGTTAACCACATCTGTCACAATACATATAAAACCTCATGGTTACCTATTGTGAAACATATCCTTGATAACTGCGGTCTATCCTACATGTTTCTAAATCCGTCTGTATGCTCGACGCCTTGGCTTGTCTCAATGGTTGAAAACGCCTACAGATCCCAGTTTTTCCAAAATCGGAAGTCTAATGTTGATTCAAGTTCCAAGCTTGATTATTACAAATATTTCAAAACCCAACCAATCTTAGAAAAATATCTTCTTCTTCCAAAAAGCATATATTACCCAATTTTGAGGTTCAGAATAACTAACCAGACAGGCCGATGGTTGAGCATTCCACGTGAAAACCGACAATGTCCACTTTGTCTTTCAAACGCTGTTGAAAAAATATGTCCATCTTTAAGAAACTCTCATCTACTACCAGTATAATAAACTTTATTGTCCCGGAGACATTGAGCGCGATGTTGACGACGTAGCAGGGTCCCGACGTCGGGTCTCTTGGCTCCCCGACCAATCTCTTTCAACCTGTTTCGTACAGTTTGGCTGGATATCCTCCGAAGTCCAGGCACCCTGGCTGCTGTGCTCTCACTCTTGGCAGTACGATCATGCAATTGTAGTACCCGGATGTACCGATCTGGGGCTGCCGTGGTGACTCGAGGTCTGCCTCTACGGGGACGGTCATTTGTTATACCTGCTTGGTTGTAACGAGCTGCAAGCCGTGATATCGTGCTCAGACTAATATTCAGACGACTGGCAACAGAAGATTGGTAATCTCCAGCGTGCATTCTTTCAATGGCGATGTTCTGTGTCGCAGAGTCAAGACGTGGCGTAGTGATTTGGGTTACGCAACAAAGAGAAAATGACCAGTCTTTCCATATGCGAGTGAAGCGAGGAAAGGTTGGCAACGTGCTTCCCTCGCTTCGGTTCGAAAAATATTTTTAATATCAAAATAAACTATCGCCATCATCAAAGGTAGATACCCATTTCCTCACAGAGTTGTGCTCTCAGATTTCCAACCTCATATTTAATCATTACTCACGTACAATATATTTAATTCAACATTTTAAGCGCCACTCGTGGCATGTCAAATCGTTCTTCGCCTCCATTACCCCTGCCAGCTTCAGGTTCAGACTGGTCATTATCTCTTTGTTGCGCAACCCTATTTGCGCTACAATTTGCCTGTGGTGTAATTACCTTCTTGTTCTAAACAACATCGGATCCGTGAAGATCTGGGTTAGAGAAGACAAAATCTCATTAAGAAACATTTACATGGAAGGTCAATAATACTACTCAGTCGCACCCGTGAAGATCCGGGTTAGAATTGATCTTCAGTAACTCATGCTTGTCGTAAGAGGCGACTGACGGGATTGGATAGTCAGGCTCGCTGACTTGGTTGACACGTCATCATATCCCAATTGCGGAGATCGATGCTCATGCAGTTGATTACTGGATTGTCTGGTCCAAACTCGATTATTTACAGACCGCCACCATATAGCTGGAATATTGCTAAATGCGGCGTAAAACTAAACTCACTCACTCACTCTAAAACAACATCCACATGCCATAGTGGTAAATGAATATGTGATAATAAACGCTTGTTCTTACTTGATGGATCATTACCACATTCACTTTAAAGATAAGATTTACGTATAATTTCAGATGAATCGTCGATATCGTCCGATTCGTCTTTTCCTAATACTGTGTGGGATATCCGTGATCATTTGCATCTTCTACCTTTGTGCATTTACATCACATACCGGGAGGTACAGGTTTCCTCTTTTCGATGATACAGAAGTGCGTCAATTGTCAGCTGTAAAGGAACATACGACGGTGAATCCCAGATCTCCTGAATGGGTAAAACACTCAGGATTAGACAAGGGAAAGAGTAACAACATGCCCAATATACATCTGAATCCTAAAAGTGATCAGACACACCTATCGCCCGACGCCAAATCCCATCCACTCTCACAGCACACTTCATCTCGGCTTTTCTTTAAAGAAGCCATCACAGAGTACTGGACTCCAACTGGTACGGTCAATATGGATCTCCCTTTCACAAACAAGTCCTTGACACATTACACTGGAAATGGAACTAAGCTTATTGTATTTGAGCAATGTCCAAAATTTATGGAATGGACACTAATAGGTTATATGGAACTGTGTAGATACAGCAACTGTTTGTTGTCGCCGAATTGCTCATTGAGGACATATGCAGACGCTGTGCTCTTTAATGAACGATTAATGTCCCCCATACCTCCACCCCGAACACCAGGGCAAGTGTGGGTGCTTTTTTGCCTGGGAAAGTCCGACTCACCGTAGACAAGCAATGTACACACCAGAATGGAGAAGAGAATTAAATTGGACAATGACATACAGAACGAACTCCGACCTCTTCGCGCCCGTGGGGATGTTTGTACCAGTTCTGAAACCGCTTTCCTATCATCATCTTCTAAATATCGTGCAGCACAAGACGAAGACGGTTGCATGGTTTGTGAACAATTGTCAAACAGCTTCTAGACGAATGGCATATGTCAAAGGCTTCAGAAAGTAATTGACGTTGATATTTTTGGACATTGTGGATCATTTACATGCCCAAAATCAAATCCAGAATGCCGAAACATGCTAAACCATACATACATGTTTTATTTGTCATTTGAGAACTCCTTGTGTAAAGACTACATTACGGAAAAGCTGTACAAGATTTTCAACGTACCCTGTGTCCCTGTAGTCCGAGGAGGTGCTGACTACAAACACCTTGTACCGAATGGGACGTATATCGACACAGCTGATTTTGCCAGCCCGGAGGCGCTTGGATGGCATCTAAAGGGGCTCATATCCAACACGTCAGCTTACATGGACATCCTCATGCACAAGGAACAGTACCGGGCCCTCAGCTCACGTCCAGGAAAAGTCATGGCGTTGTGTGAACTTTGTTATCGACTTAATAACCCGGGAACACGGTGGAGCACATCGGAAGGTATAGAGGAACGGAATGAAGAATGCCATGTTCCTGCAGACCTTGGGTAGATGATGTAAAAATGAAAGTTAGAAAACGGAAAGTAATGGTATGTATGTATTTGTCAGGTCTTAAAATATTGTCCTCGGATTTACTGTTTTTATTGATAATTTTTGGACACTATAAAGGAGAGGATTTGATGAGGGAGATGTTGGTCTATGCATAACTTAGTAAAGTAGTAAAGCTGTCAGACGTATTCTTGTAGAAGACAATTATACTTTGTTTATCACTTACATGTTGTGGAAATATACAGACAACACGCCCTACGTTAGGCCAAACGTGCCACTGGTACAGTGTTCGTGTTAACGCAAAAACCTGCGTGTTTCACACAAATAAATCTAACACGTCACAAGTTAATTCTGGACTCACTAAAGTCCAGAAAGTCTCCGCACTGTGGGCACTTTCTGACAAGGGATTTGAGCAAATTAAACATACAGTTGTTGTCACGGTAGTAGACACCAGTGACTCTCCCTTGGCAGATGTGGAGATCGGTCCTGCCCGTCATTGTGATCCCACCCCACACCAAAACAGAACCCCTTCCATATGATCATGTGGAATCATGGCTGGTGGCGTTCACCTGGTCAACCTTGATTCATCGCTGGACATCGCATGGGACCACCGGGCATTGTTCCACAGCGGGTGACGATGACAAGTCTCTCCGGGCCTGCCTGTGACGGTTTGGTAGGGACCACAGGATGTAAGATCGCCTTGCTCGAAGGTGTGCAGCGTGGAGACGGTTCCGTTTAGTCTGTGTGGAGATGCCTTTCCCAGTGGCCTGTCTGTGTACTTGCTGCAGATGTGTCGAATTATGTCGACGATCACGGATGGCTCCAGTGATGATCCGCCGGTCATCATAACTGGTGGTACATCTGGGGCGATCACCTTGAGACCTATCCTGAACTCTTCCAGTGGCAGTGTAACGTGCCCACATCCGACGAGGCACCCAGTTGTGCTGCTGTGTGGGCTTGTGTTCTTCCGGCCTGGAGCATCCCTATGGCTCTAAGCTTCATATAATATACATGAAGAATTAGACAGCATGTCCTGTGACCCTGATGTTGGAACAAAAATTGACGATATTGTTCAGAATATTAATGACATGTTCTGCTCATGTGCTAAGAGTGTATTCGGTGAATATGAACTACTTCCAACTCTGAGCACCAAGAGACCATCTGTATTTAAAATGATAGGTTTATTGCAAAGTAAAAATGTCTCGGACTTGATCAAACTCTCAACTTTTTGTCGCTCTATATTATGCAATTTTAAATAGACTTTATGTCGCCATTACTTACTTTGCATGACCTCTGTAAACCCACATTATGCTATGTATGTAGCCTTGAGAGAAATAATGTTCAGTTCAGTTCAGTTCAGTTCAGGCATGGTACCTCAGTGAGCTAGCACTATAAAACCAGCTTAAATCTGGGCTAGTACAAGCAACCCCACATACACATCCACACGCATGCACGTCGTCATGTGAGCGAAATATTCTCCAGCGCGACGTTAAACCCAATTTCACCTCACCCTTCAATGGTATGTTTATTTTCTTTGTTGGAAATGATTATGGTAGTATGGGGGTGGCGTATGTCGGGGCTTGGATTATTCGTACGTTAAAACATACTGATAAGGATCATAATGTAACTTTACAGTAATCAGATTATTGTAGAAATGGCTCGAGATATACCCTCGCACCCCACCCATCATCACCCACCATGAACATGAACAGCTGGGAGTGAACCCACACGTTTAGCATTTGTTTGTCACAACGGCGGATCCAGAGGGGGATCTCCCCGAAACAAATTTCCCCTAGAAGCATCCCCACCTTTGGACTTCATGATTTATGTGCACTCCTCTTCTCCAAAATTCTACATCCGTACCTGTGTCATATGAAATACCTATCTCGGTATTTCATATCAAATATATACAGTGAACTCCCTCTAAACCGACATCCTTCTAATCCGACATTCCCTGAAAACCGACATCTTTATTTGGTTGCGAATTTGTCCCTGTATAGTATCAGATAAGAAGCTCCCTCTAATTCAACATCCTTCTATTCCGAATTCCGACACTAAAATCCGGTCCCCAAACATGTTTTAGTTGAGTGGAACAAGTTAGATAAAGATATAAGAAACATAGATTCCGTTGCCATGTTCAAGAAACACTTTGATCGAACTGTCTCATCCAATGAACATCATGTCTTCAGAAACATTGGAACTAGATTTAACCAAATAATTAATTGTAAGTTAAGACTTGGCTGTAGTGACATAAATGCACATAAATTTGACCGCTTTCTTCAAAATACGTCTACTTGCTCTTGTGGCCATCATTATGAAGATGCCATTCATTTTCTATTCATCTGTCCAAAGTTTACTACAATTCGATCAAAGTGTTTATATTACATAAATGGTTTTAATATTCAATCTGTATTATGTGGAAGTTACTCATATTCTGACGAAATCAATGAAAATATTGTAAAATCTGTACCTGACTATTTTACCTTAACAAAACGATTTGTACCTAATTGATTAATTATACTAGTGTCTTTTTCATTTAGTCTTTTACTCTTCAAATGGTGTGTTCTCTTGTCTGTAATGATGAAAGTATGTAAAAGGTTTCCCATCGCATTGTATTCGGAGAGATATTTATATAGGCTTATAGCCTGTTTACCAATTCGTTCATTTCATAATGAATAAATATTGTTCAAACTATGTTTTAGTGCAAATTGACTCTCTCTAAACCGACATTGTAATTTTAAAAGAGATGGCATCAGCCAACACATGGTGTGTATTTAACACACACGCTTAGGCGAGAGGTGGCCTGCCAAGGCATAATAGGATTAAGTGTTAATTCCTTGCTAATTACTTGTTCAATGGATTCATAGATTGGTGAAATTACATGTTAAGTGCTTGTTCTGATTCAATGACATTAGCATTGACATTGAGATTATCTCAGTTTAGCATGATTATTGCTAGTCGGAAAATGAAGAAAGTCTCCGGGCTCCTTTTTATTATATATTTTTTGTTCACTTTGAGCCTTTTTCAGTAAAATATGTTCATTTCAGACTAGTTGTTAGTCTAGAGTATTGCCAGTCAGTGTAACTAAGACATATTACATTATAGGTGAGGTGAAACTGGGTTTAACTTCGCGCTGGAGAATATTTCGCTCATATGACGACGTGTATGCGTGTGTATGTGTATGTGCGGCTGCTTGTACGAGCCCAGACTGAAGCTGGTTTTATAGTGCTAGCCCACTGAGGTACCATGCCGCAGTGAAGCACGAATGCCCCACTCAGACACATTATACTGACTCCGAGCCGACCAGTCCTTGTTGTACCCATTAATGCCGAGCGCCAGGCAGGGACCAACAAGTATATTACATTATAATAAGAAGTCATGGTCAGTTACTGCAATAAAAGTCCCAATGGCCACCCCATCTCCTAAGAGAGCAAGGACTGAGTTTACTCTAGATAAATTCCTGAAATTAGCTTCCGGTTTGAAAAATAGCACCCCAAAGTGTATGCTTTACAGTGACTTTGGAAGAGAGCCGTTGAATATCAAAATCTATAAGCGATTTATATTACATTGACATAAATTAGCCTCTGAGAACACGTATTTGAAGCCATCCCAGATTATATATTACTGTGTTAACCACATCTGTGACAATACATGTAAAACCTCATGGTTACCTATTGTGAAACATATCCTTGATAACTGCGGTCTATCCTACATGTTTCTAAATCCGTCTGTATGCTCGACGCCTTGGCTTGTCTCAATGGTTGAAAACGCCTACAGATCCCAGTTTTTCCAAAATCGGAAGTCTAATGTTGATTCAAGTTCCAAGCTTGATTATTACAAATATTTCAAAACCCAACCAATCTTAGAAAAATATCTTCTTCTTCCAAAAAAGCATATATTACCCAATTTTGAGGTTCAGAATAACTAACCAGACCGGCCGATGGTTGAGCATTCCGCGTGAAAACCGACAATGTCCACTTTGTCTTTCAAACGCTGTTTAAAATATGTCCATCTTTAAGAAACTCTCATCTACTACCAGTAAAATAAACTTTATTGTCCCGGAGACGTTGAGCGCGATGGTGACGACGTAGCACGGTCCCGACGTCGGGTCTCTTGGCTCCCCGACCAATCTCTTTCAACCTGTTTCGTACAGTTTGACTGGATATCCTCCGAAGTCCAGGCATCCTGGCTGCTGTGCTCTCACCCTTGGCAGTACGATCATGCAGTTGTAGTACCCGGATGTACCGATCTGGGGCTGCAGTGGTGACTCGAGGTCTGCCTGTACGGGGACGGTCATTTGTTATACCTGCTTGGTTGTAACGAGCTGCAAGCCGTGATATCGTGCTCAGACTAATATTCAGACGACTGGCAACAGAAGATTGGTAATCTCCAGCGTGCATTCTTTCAATGGCGATGTTCTGTGTCGCAGAGTCAAGACGTGGCGTAGTGATTTGACCTTGAAACTCCTTCAAAACGAATGCCAATAATTCCGAAAGTAATCTTGATTTTAATTGCCAGACAGTGCATTCTCTTTGCTGCACAATTTCAATTGGAAGGTGATTTCTGTTGCGTTGTGGCGATGCCTTCTTAATCCTTGTAAGAAATCTCATCAAAATCAACATTTTAAGGTAAAATCGATTTTTTTTACTTGTGCAATTTTGTAAAATCATGTTATCAACACTTTTGTTACATATTTTGACGATTGTTTGAACACAATAGGTCATTAATAGATTTTTCAAAATGCGTTTTTTTTTTGGGATAATATATTATAAGAAGAAGTCATGGTCAGTTACTGCACTAAAAGGCACACTGGCTACCCCGCCCCCTAAGAGAGCAAGGACTGAGTTAACAATAGATACAACTCTATATAAACATACATTTCACTGTGTTCATTACATTTTGTCTCTGTGTGGTTAAATTTTAGATTGAGTTTCTAGCAAATCCCTTTATAGCGACATTTTTTCATCGGTCCCGAGCGATGTCGGTTTAGAGGGAGTCCACTGTAAGCCTTCTTAGTTTGTATCAATTCAATGCAGGGCGTCTATGAAATACTCAGCCTACACATTAAACTAGATAATTTAGTGCGCTTAGTCTGTAAAGGAATATTTGTGTAATCACAGGCAAATTGTAGCGCAAATAGGGTTACGCAACAAAGAGAAAATGACCAGTCTTTCCATATGCGAGCGAAGCGAGCAAAGGTTGGCAACGTGCTTCCCTCGCTTCGGTTCGAAAAATATTTTTAATATCACAATAAACTATCGCCATCATCAAAGGTAGATACCCATTTCCTCACAGAGTTGTGCTCTCAGATTTCCAACCTCATATTTAATCATTACTCACGTACAATATATTTAATTCAACATTTTAAGCGCCACTCGTGGCATGTCAAATCGTTCTTCGCCTCCATTACCCCTGCCAGCTTCAGGTTCAGACTGGTCATTATCTCTTTGTTGCGCAACCCTATTTGCGCTACAATTTGCCTGTGGTGTAATTACCTTCTTGTTCTAAACAACATCGGATCCGTGAAGATCTGGGTTAGAGAAGACAAAATCTCATTAAGAAACATTTACATGGAAGGTCAATAATACTACTCAGTCGCACCCGTGAAGATCCGGGTTAGAATTGATCTTCAGTAACTCATGCTTGTCGTAAGAGGCGAGTAACGGGATTGGATGGTCAGGCTCGCTGACTTGGTTGACACGTCATCGTATCCCAATTGCGGAGATCGATGCTCATGCAGTTGATTACTGGATTGTCTGGTCCAAACTCGATTATTTACAGACCGCCGCCATATAGCTGGAATATTGCTAAATGCGGCGTAAAACTAAACTCACTCACTCACTCTAAAACAACATCCACATACCATAGTGGTAAATAAATATGTGATAATAAACGCTTGTTCTTACTTGATGGATCATTACCACATTCACTTTAAAGATAAGATTTACGTATAATTTCAGATGAATCGTCGATATCGTCCGATTCGTCTTTTCCTAATACTGTGTGGGATATCCGTGATCATTTGCATTTTCTACCTTTGTGCATTTACATCACATACCGGGAGGTACAGGTTTCCTCTTTTCGATGATACAGAAGTGCGTCAATTGTCAGCTGTAAAGGAACATACGACGGTGAATCCCAGATCTCCTGAATGGGTAAAACACTCAGGATTAGACAAGGGAAAGAGTAACAACATGCCCAATATACATCTGAATCCTAAAAGTGATCAGACACACCTATCGCCCGACGCCAAATCCCATCCACTCTCACAGCATACTTCATCTCGGCTTGTCTTTAAACAAGCCATCACAGAGTACTGGACTCCAACTGGTGCGGTCAATATGGATCTCCCTTTCACAAACAAGTCCTTGACACATTACACGGGAAATGGAACAAAGCTTATTGTATTTGAGCATTGTCCAAAATTTATGGAATGGGCACTAATAGGTTATATGGAACCGTGTAGATACAGCAACTGTTTGTTGTCGCCGAATTGCTCATTGAGGACATACGCAGACGCTGTGCTCTTTAATGAACGATTAATGTCCCCCAAACCTCCACCCCGAACACCAGGGCAAGTGTGGGTGCTTTTTGCCTGGGAAAGTCCGACTCACCGTAGACAAGCAATGTACACACCAGAATGGAGAAGAGAATTAAATTGGACAATGACATACAGAACGAACTCCGACCTCTTCGCGCCCGTGGGGATGTTTGTACCAGTTCTGAAACCGCTTTCCTATCATCATCTTCTAAATATCGTGCAGCACAAGACGAAGACGGTTGCATGGTTTGTGAACAATTGTCAAACAGCTTCTAGACGAATGGCATATGTCAAAAGGCTTCAGAAAGTAATTGACGTTGATATTTTTGGAAATTGTGGATCATTTACATGCCCAAAATCAAATCCAGAATGCCGAAACATGCTAAACCATACATACATGTTTTATTTGTCATTTGAGAACTCCTTGTGTAAAGACTACATTACGGAAAAGCTGTACAAGATTTTCAACGTACCCTGTGTCCCTGTAGTCCGAGGAGGTGCTGACTACAAACACCTTGTACCGAATGGGACGTATATCGACACAGCTGATTTTGCCAGCCCGGAGGCGCTTGGATGGCATCTAAAGGGGCTCATATCCAACACGTCAGCTTACATGGACATCCTCATGCACAAGGAACAGTACCGGGCCCTCAGCTCACGTCCAGGAAAAGTCATGGCGTTGTGTGAACTTTGTTATCGACTTAATAACCCGGGAACACAGTGGAGCACATCGGCAGGTATAGAGGAACGGAATGAAGAATGCCATGTTCCTGCAGACCTTGGGTAGATGATGTAAAAATGAAAGTTAGAAAACAGAAAGTAATGGTATATATGTATTTGTCAGGTCTTAAAATATTGTCCTCGGATTTACTGTTTTTTATTGATAATTTTTGGGACTATAAAGGAGAGGATTTGGTGAGGGAGATGTTGGTCTATGCATAACTTAGTAAAGTAATAAAGCTGTCAGACGTATTCTTGTAGAAGACAATTATACTTTGTTTATCCCTTACATGTTGTGGAAATATACAGACAACACGCCCTACGTTAGGACAAACGTGCCACTGGTACAGTGTTCGCGTTAACGCAAAAACCTGCGTGTTTCACACAAATAAATCTAACACGTCACAAGTTAATTCTGGACTCACTAAAGTCCAGAAAGTCTCCGCACTGTGGGCACTTTCTGACAAGGGATTTGAGCAAATTAAACATACAGTTGTTGTCACGGTAGTAGACACCAGTGACTCTCCCTTGGCAGATGTGGAGATCGGTCCTGCCCGTCATTGTGATCCCACCCCACACCAAAACAGAACCCCTTCCATATGATCATGTGGAATCATGGCTGGTGGCGTTCACCTGGTCAACCCTGATTTATCGCTGGACATTGCATGGGACCACCGGGCATTGTTCCACGGCGGGTGACGATGACAAGTCTCTCCGGGCCTGCCTGTGACGGTTTGGTAGGGACAACAGGATGTAAGATCGCCTTGCTCGAAGGTGTGCAGCATGGAGACGGTTCCGTTTAGTCTGTGTGGAGATGCCTTTCCCAGTGGCCTGTCTGTGTACTTGCTGCAGATGTGTCGAATTATGTCGACGATCACGGATGGCTCCAGTGATGATCCGCCGGTCATCATAACTGGTGGTACATCTGGGGCGATCACCTTGAGACCTATCCTGAACTCTTCCAGTGGCAGTGTAACGTGCCCACATCCGACGAGGCACCCAGTTGTGCTGCTGTGTGGGCTTGTGTTCTTCCGGCCTGGAGCATCCCTATGGCTCTAAGCTTCATATAATATACATGAAGAATTAGACAGCATGTCCTGTGACCCTGATGTTGGAACAAAAATTGACGATATTGTTCAGAATATTAATGACATGTTCTGCTCATGTGCTAAGAGTGTATTCGGTGAATATGAAGTTAGGAAAACCCTGTGTCCTGTTAAGAAAAGGTTATGTAAACCATGGTTTGGCCGAGAATGTAAAGTTGCCCGCAGGAAATATTTCTCTGCAAAGAGAGCATTTTGTTTAAACAAAACACTGTCAAACAAGATTGGCCTTCAGAAGGCAAGTAGATCCAAGTAGAAAACATTTGTAAAACATAGTAATGAATTTAGATATGAGCTGCAACGCAAGTTTGATAACCTTCACACAAGTGATACGAAATCCTTCTGGAAACTCTTGAAATCTGGAAATACGGATGATAAACTACCCCTATTGATAAACTATTCCTTTATTATAAAGAATTAAGCATTGATGATAATGATCAACCCAATGAAATAGTAATTCAAGATGTAGATGACAATGACTATCTTCAAGAGCCTATTACAGCAGATGAAATTATGAAAGCTGTGAAACACCTTAAAACAAATAAAGCCAGTGGTGTAGATAATATCATAAATGAATATATAAAATGCACAATAGACAAGATGATAAAGGTGTACACAAAACTCTTTAATAAAATTCTGGACTCGGGTTGTTACCCCAGCACGTGGCTTAATGGAATTATTCGACCCATTTTCAAAAACAAAGGTGACTATCTGGATCCAAAGAATTATAGGCCAATAACGCTGTTATGTTGCATGAGCAAATTGTTTACATCTGTTCTCAACAACAGAATAACTATTTATCTTGATTCTTCAAATGTGTTATCTGCGATTCAGGCGGCATTTAGAAAAGGTTATACGACCTCTGACCATATTTTTAGTCTTTTTAGTATTTTTCATCTTTTAAAGAGTGAAAAGAAAAAGTTATTTTGTGCTTTCATAGATTTTGAAAAAGCTTTCGACAATGTATGGAGAACAGGAATGTGGACCAAATAACTAAATTATAACATAACCGGTAAATGTTTTCGTATTATCCAATCTATGTACACCGGTATAAAATCACGTGTAGCATGCAAAGGACAAACATCAGAATATTTCAACTGTCTTAAAGGTGTAAGACAGGATGAAAACTTATCCCCTCTTTTTTTGCTATATAGTTAAAAGACATTGAACAATATTTTACCTCTCTCTCATGTGATGGAGTTGTTTTTGACAATGAAGAACTGTGTATATACTTGAAATTATTTGCCTTACTTTATACTGACGACACTGTCATACTGGCAACTTGTAAAGAGCATTTACAGTACCAGTTGGATATATTTACTGAATATTGTAAATCATGGAAACTTAAAATCAATGTTGAAAAATGTAATATATCTATATTAAATGGCAATAGAAAGGACTACAATCATAAATTTGCAATATCTGATACTTACCTAGAGAATGTTGATGAATATAAATATCTGGGTATTATATTTAGTAAGAAATGTACCCTTCACATCAGCAAGAAGATCGTTATGTGAGAAGGCTCTTAAAGCTATAAACTATATTCTATCAAAAGCTAGACGTTTTAATTTATCTATCGCCTGCCAACTGAAGTTATTTGATCTCATGTATACACGATATACTAGTTCAAACTGGAAATAATGACATGTGGATTCAAGAGTTTTGTGGTAATGTAGAATGGTTAAAGCATAAGGTAAAGAATAGTCTCATTGATTTGTTTATACAGAAGTGGCACTCTGATCTAGAAGTATCACAAAGGGTAGATTCTATAAATCTATTAAACTTAACACTGATATTGAATTCTATCTACAACATTTACCTGATAAACATAAAATTGCTTTAACAGTGTTTAGATTATCATGCCATCGACTACCGATTGAGACTGGTGGTAGGTACAAATCAGATATTTCGGATAGAAAAAGTATCCTCTGTGCCTCAAATGATATTGGAGATGAATACCACTACTTGATTTATTGTAGTTATTTCAACGATCTGAGAAAGAAACTACTTCCAACTCTGAGCATCAAGAGACCATCTGTATTTGAAAGTATAAATGTCTCGGACTTGATCAAACTCTCAACTTTTTGTCGCTCTATATTATGCAATTTTAAATAGACTTTATGTCGCCATTACTTACTTTGCATGACCTCTGTAAACCCTCATTATGCTATGTATGTAGTCTGGAGAGAAAATAATGTTCAGTTCAGGCATGGTACCTGAGTGAGCTAGCACTATAAAACCAGCTTAAGTCTGGGCTAGTACAAGCAGCCGCACATACACACGCATGCACGTCGTCATGTGAGCGAAATATTCTCCAGCGCGACGTTAAACCCAATTTCACCTCACCCTACAATTGTATGTTTATTTTCTTTTTAAAAGCTGAAACGTTCGAACGAACACGCCTGATACCAAACGTATCCCGTGCAGCATTCACTAGCACGTGCGAGATGTCACTGGCAATCTCAGATATTCTTATAGCGAGGCACAGATTACACATTCACGTATGAGGAAACTTTTCCTTCTCTTAAAAAACACACGCAGCTCCCTCGGATAGCACCATGCATGTGTGGATTTTAGGTTTCCAAATTCATTGAATACTGTAGAGAGAGAGAAAGATACCATCTTACTTCATCCATCATGGCGATTTATTCACTTCCAAAACAAAAAAGAGGATTAAAACAATATTCGTCCGCCTTAAGTTTAAATAGAGCCTCTGAATTTACGTTGGAACTGACTATGGTAGTATGGGGCTGGCGGATGTCGGGGCTTGGATTATTTGTACGTTAAAACATACTGATATGGATCATAATGTAACTTTACAGTAATCAGATTATTGTAGAAATGGCTCGAGATATACCCTCGCACCCCACCCATCATCACCCACCATGAACATGAACAGCTGGGAGTGAACCCACACGTTTAGCATTTGTTTGTCACAGGGGCGGACCCAGGGGTGGATCTCCCCGAAACAAATTTCCCCGAGAAGCATCCCCACCTTTGGACTTCATGATTTATGTGCACTCCTCTTCTCCAAAATTCTGGATCCGTACCTGTGTCATAGGAAATACTTATGTCGGTATTTCATATCAAATATATACAGTGGACCCCCTCTAAACCGACATCCCTCCAATCCGACATTCCCTATAAACCGACATATATATTTGGTCCCGAATTTGTCCCTGTATAATATCAGATAGGAACCTCCCTCTAATTCAACATCCCTCTATTCCGAATTCCGACACTAAAATCCGGTCCCAAAACATGTTTTAATTGAGTGGAACAAGTTAGATAATGATATAAGGAATATAGATTCCGTTGCCATGTTCAAGAAACACTTTGATCGAACTGTCTCATCCAATGTACATCATATCTTCAGAAACACTGGAACTAGATTTAACCAAATAATTCATTGTAAGTTAAGACTTGGCTGTAGTGACTTAAATGCACATATATTTGACCGTTTACTTCAAAATACGTCTACTTGCTCTTGTTGCCTTCATTATGAAGATTTCATTCATTTTCTATTTATCTGTCCAAATTTTACTACAATCCGATCGAAGTGTTTATATTGCATAAATTGTTTTAATATTCAATCTGTATTATGTGGAAGTTACTCATATTCTGACGAAATCAATGAAAATATTTTAAAATCTGTACATGACTATTTTACCTTAACGGAATTGTCAAAGGTAGTGTTTATGTATGTAGATTTACTAATCTATACTGAATACACTCGGTCGTGTCGGTGTCTGCGTAAAAACAACGTCCTTCTTTCAAAGGATTAACCGGCAATACATTGATTGATTGCCCATTATTGGCTAACTAATTTACTGTTTTTAAAGAAAGGCGGACATTATGCAATTAGATTGCCATGTGTGCTATCTTGGGTGACCAATGAGACTATACACCAATACCTGAAAAAGATTTATCACTTTTCGTATATCAAACTGTTAAAAGACAC